CGTCCCCACGCGTTCCTGGGCGCGGAGCCGGGCTGCGGGGCGCTGCGGGCAACGCACGGGGCCCGTCTGCGCCCGAGCTGCGGTCGCCGCGCCGCCGCACTACCCGCTTTCCTCCTTCCCTCTCCTGCCTGCGGTTGGATAAGAGCTAAAACTTAACCCTCTGTGTTGGCTTAAAAAAAAAAAAGGGGGGGGGGGGGGGTGGCGGCGAGGGGGAGGGGGACAAAAAACAAAAACGGCCGTTTAGAAGAAGAAATGCTCACATTTCTCTATCTTACAAGTGTATGAAGTGCACTTCGGGGGCCATTGGGTTTGTCCTAATGTCACAGTGTAACTGCTGGTGACATTTTTTTCCCACCGTAGGCTTACACCATTGAGAAGGTAGTGTAAGGTGTGCTGGACCCAGGAAGCCATCGGAGTGAGTTGCGCGGTCTTGTGCTCGCATAGTGGGGTTGTCACCCTTCTTTACTCCTTCGTGCGTTCATACCTTCATTAAGCAGCACTGTTATGTTCTAAGTGCTCAGAATCTATTGGAGTAATGGGACTGCTTTCTTTTTAGTGCCTGATCCTGTCCTAGACTTTTGGAAACAAGTCCTTAAAATCTGAAAGTATCCTTCTAGCGCAGGCCTGTTAGTGTGATCTTGTCACCCTTCTGGTTGAGTTGTATTCCTGTTCACCATCTCCTTTCTATTTCTACTGCTGTCTTTGTTGGTGATTCCGTCTGAAACAGCTATACAAATAAATCATTACTTTTCCTAAATTCTTTTATTATGGCTCAGTTGGGAATATTTGGAAAAAAGCCTGTGCTGCCCATCACACCTTGAAGAGGTGGTAGTGGTGGGGCTGAGAGTGCGTGGTTAAGCGCTAATGATTCCCCGTGCATCAGAGAAAACCAAAAAAGGAAGGGCTGAAAGGAAGAGAGCAGATTCTTAATAATATTGAGAACACTGTGGACCCTTTATCTGCTGTTAAATTGAGCATGACTTTCAAGCCATGCCTCCTAATTAATTTAATTCAGTGTTCTGGCATCAATAAGTAATTGAATTATAAAAGAATTCAGTGTAACAACTTAGGACATTTTGTTGCTGAAAGGTTCATTAGAGAGTAGAACAGTTCCATGATTGAACTAAGGATGTTTGACGCTCACAGCTGGGAATTAAGGGTTAAGGAAAGACCTCTGTATCCGACCCCAGTGAACATGCAAAAGGCTAATGGCTGCCACTGTCACTGTTACCTCGGGCTTGACTGCAGGATGTAGCACTGCAGCCCACTGGTTCCTTGGTTTCCCCCCAAATAAGCTTGTTGCTGATGGAATTGGGGACACTACAGAGGGCTTACAGATCTTGGGGAGAAGACAGTTCAGGAGTCCTCAGGCTCAACCCTAGCACCAGCTATTACATAAGGCTCTAGGGTTGAAAAGGCTGAATAGGGTGATTTGGCTTAGTGGGATTAATTCATGCTGAGAAATTTAGGGGACTTATGCACATTTTGTCCTCTGCCATAGTTCTAATGAGCACATAGTAAGAGGCATCAGGTGTAGCAGTGTCTCAGGAACAGGCTGTGAGAGGCCCCACCCTAGTCTGAGAGAAGGCCATGGCTAGACCTCATCAGGGGTAGTCAGCTTCTGTGTGTGCAGTATGTTCAGCCAGATGCTAGGCTCACTGTGGTCACTGCCGTCTAAATCGTATGCATCTTATTTGATAAGAGGTGCTCTGCACTTTATTTTGCAGGGAAGATAATCTACACTTAGGCTGGGTAAATCACTGCAAGGCTCCTGCATGTATGGCCCTCTACACTGTACTGTGTTCTTTGATAGTGATGGGGCTGCTGCATCGTGGCAACAGTGCTTAGCAAAGACACATTTGTCTGGAAAGAGCCACTAATGAACACTCAGAACAAGGGTGAGACCCAGTCTCTGTGCAGAATGGTCCTGAAAGGGACTGTGTGTGTGTGTGTGTGTGTGTGTGTGTGTGTGTGTGTACCAGTGAGGTAGGTGAAGTTGGCATTGTTACATATTTTTATTTTCCTGATTGGTGATAGACATTATATATTGCTGTAGTTGGTGCTCGTATGTAGGAGCTGCATTTTTGGAAATTACCTCAAATCAAAAGCTGTAAAATGAGAGGTCTATAAAACCACCCAGAATGTTTGCATGGAGCGGATCTTTGTGTTTTGTTGACCATAATGTTCCAATGGGATTTGGACTCTTTTGCAAAATGAATCGTGACTGTCACACAGGGAGCCTTCGAATATGCTCAGCTCCTCCCTGGTGGCTGCTTGAGTGGAATGCGCCTCTGTAAATCTGATTCAGCCTTGAGCTCCACTTTTAAAGGATGAGATGGCCCCTTTTATCTTCCTGTTAGTTTTTGTTCTTTCTTTTGTAATTACATTTTCAAGGAATGCAACAATCTGGCCAAAGCACAGAGCAAGCATTGGTGAATTCCTATTGTGCTAAGTGTCCTGGGAGGAAGAGGAAAGCTAGTGCTGCCCCGTGAAGGACAGTGGGTCTTGGTCGTTTCTTTGTGCTTTTCTGCACAAAGGAGAATCTCTAAAAATTGACAAGCAAGCAAGCAAACAAACCAAAAAACCCGAGAAAACAAGTACAGGAAACTTGCATACTTGGTTGTATGTGAAATGTAAGTCATTTCCTATTGGGTTCTAAATGAATCTTCAGAGAATGCTTTCTCTTAAATGTTGTTTACCTTTTCTAGTGTCTTCTGTGACTGGACCACATTTCTCAAGCCTTTGTTGTGTTTTGTAAAATAAGAAGTAGAGACCTTAGAAAAGCTTTCTCCAGTTTCAATTTTTGTCATCTGGTGTGTGGTTAAAAACATGCCTTCTTCTGTGGGGAAAAAGGAACCCTTCTCCACTGCTGGTGGGAGTGTAGACTGGTGCAACCATTATGGAAATCAGTATGGAGACTCCTTAGAAAAGTTGA